TGTGGCTCCTTTGCCGGGTCCTCAGCCGTCGGATTCCTTTGGGCAAGCCTCGTGTCGATGGGATGGGGCGACGAGATCTGGTTCTCATTCGGCGGGTGGAATGGTTTTGGTGGATGCTATTGGCAGTCCGTTCTTGGCGGCTGGATTTCAGCTTCCCCATATTGATAATCCTCCAGTTGTCGAGCTGTTGGTTCTTCGTGAGGCCATCCGGTGGTGCCTAAATTTGGGTTTTACTGAGGTGCAGTTTGAAGGCGACGCCAAGGTCATTATTGATAAACTTAATAGGGCGGATGCGAGGGATAGCCAGATGGGAGTGATTCTTCAAGAAGTTATAAATCTTTTAGCTGTCCATTCTGGGTTCCGTGTACGGTTTATAGGTCGGAGTTACAATAGGGTAGCCCATTTGGTGGCTAGGAAAGCCCTGTCTTTGTACCCGGCTACTTGCCGTTTCTTTGATTTTCAGGCCTGGCTGTCTTCCAGGATGTAACTATCGTTATTTGATCTAATGGATTATCTTTTGTCAAAAAAAAAAAAAAAAAAATAATCCCCCCCCCCCCCCCACAACTCTATCCCAACAGAGGAATCAAAGTTAATCAAACCTGATCATGGTTCTATCCCCCAAATTTCTCCTCCTCTTCTCCCTTTATGAAAGCAATTCCGATACCTGTTATAAGTGGTATTCTTTATAACGACGACGATGAAATTCGAATAAAATATCTTACTACTACTACGACAATGTCCGTACAACCACACAACATAATGGTAAAATTATCGTCCCTTTCGACGAGACATTTCTTAACTGAACAAAATCAATCCACTCTCGTTTGTCTCTTGTCCAATTTGTCCTGTCTGTCTTTGCCATCTTCATGAATAACAAAAGTACATGTGTTTTGTGACTGAGAAGAGAATTTCAGGGTGTCATTTCTGTGCTAGGGTTCTGTTCAATTCCCCCCCTTCTCCCTTTTGTTTGTATTCAAGTGTTCAAAAGGGTACTCAAGTTGATTGAGGATTGCTGGTGCTTGGTTAAGGTTTAACATAATAACAATGATAATGAAGGGTTAAATCATACTTTATTAGTTGGGTTTGGAAATTTTAGGGAGGGTGGTGGTGTATTTATGGTAAAGTTAGTTGAGATGTGGGGGAAAATGCCAATGGAAAAAGGGAAAGAAAAAAGAAAAGCAATTTTGTAAAAACAAAAGGATGGTTACATGTTATTTTGTCTGTGCATAGAATTTGTGTATATGGTAGTTGTTGCTCTTTTATTAATCTTTATTCTTCTATTGGTGCTATATTGCACCATCATGCATGAAAGAGAGGGCTTCTAGATGGGTTGGAGGTTGGGCTTTAGATTGGGATGGAGAGAGAAAGGGATGGGGTGGAGTTAGATAGATGACTACATAATAATGAAAAGGGAAGGGAGAAGCTAGGAGATATGAATGAATGAAGGTTGTGGTTATAGTTAATTTATGGGCTTAGGTTCACCTTCCACTTCACTTTGTTTTTTTTTTATATAGTTTTGCAATCCATTACTTGAAGGTATGTGTCTAGGTTTCTATTCAAATAGACGGTTTGTAATCGTATATACTATATTATTAACATGCTGTTAGATACATCTTGTTATCGTATACTTTGAGGCATTCAAACGAATTCACAGGACCATCGATGCTTATGTTCTGATCATCTAACGAATCACTAAGAACAAATGTTGATTTTGTGTGGTATTTTCAATAATGAAGTTGGTACATAACATTTAGTGCATTAGCGTGCTGAGACGATGAGTTGCACCCACCTTGAAAGCGATTCGAAGGCTTGAAAGTATGACAACTAATGGGAGAGAGAGAGAGAGAGAGAGATGGATCATTAAGAACCCAAAAACAAAAACATGAAGAAAAAAAGAGTGAATCAACCTTTCCAATCCCTAACCCATGTCAATTGGCCTAGCTAGCACATTGTTGTTACCCACCACCACACATGGTTATGGTTATGGTTATGGAGGGAGGAGAAGGGATCTCGCTTTCTCTATCTATCTCTCTCTTTCTCACTCATCATGAAATTCAAGTGGATGGTAGAGGGGGAGATCATGAGATGGGAAAGAGGTTGTTGTCGAAAAGGAGAGAAAAGGAGAGGTTTTTCTTTTGCATCGAGCCAAGTAGAAAATGAGAGTTATTAATTGTGGAAATGGACATATAGAGATGATGGTTTGGTTGGGTATGGTATCAACCGTATATTGTATATGTACAAAAACTAAACGTATCTTGCCGCATTTGTTCTTGCGCCAAAAGCAAACAAATGTCTCTGTGTGAGAATATATGTTTTATTTAAGTTTTTCTGCTAATTATTAACTAATTACCTCGAGATTTACTAAGAATTCTGAACTCAGTACTATTGGATATCAAGACTGGTTAGGTTGTATGGTTCACGGCATAATAGACTTGATATAATATAGTATCATAAACACGAATATTTATTACGGAAAAAAAAAAGAACAAAACATTCCAAAACTTGCTATGGTTCACTAGAGTTGAATCAAAGACAATATACTCCATCTACGCCGCTTTAGGTTATGCGATATTTTCGACGTCTCACACCCATCCTGATTACAATCTTATTAACCGGTGATTTTCATTTTCCCATTTACGCTCTGAAAGTTTCTGAAAAAACGTTTTGAACATATTTCTTGCATCAACCAAAGTGAATCAATTATGCATCCTCCATTGATGGGGCTGGGAAATTTGGTAAGAAAAGCACGTGGAAGTCATGTGCTAATTAGGTATACGTATAATCTTTGTTTTTGGTAAATCATAATGTGCTTAGGTATCTGAAACTATCAACACACGACGAGATCAAGAAAACAGGCTGTTGCTAGTAGGCTAGTAGTAGTATATATGTATGGTATTATTGGTAGAGACTAGAGAGAGAGGGGTGCAAATACAATAAAATCTTGACCTACCTACCTACCTTTAGTGGTTGCAATTCGAACCGGCTCCATCTTGTATTACTCGACCTTATTCGTGTTGGGATGTACATTACTTGATACGCAGAAGGGTGAAACGGAGTATGGGTATCACTTTCGTACTATCCCGTCACTTCCCGTTCCTTACTTATGTTAAATCATATATTCACCCAATGATAGTTTAGATAAGTGTAGTCCTTCATGTTTCAACTAATTGGAGTTAATTCAGCTATTTATTATCTCTACTAGACTAGTCATTGTTTTATAACTAAAAAAAAATATTTTTTTAAACAATATATAAGACTAGTTCCAACCCGTACTAGCGCCCTTATATGATCTACGTGACCCACATTTGATACAAACCGAGTATAAATATTGAGGTACCCGTCATTTCCCCACCTTGGGGGTTGGGGCTGTCATCTCTTTCTTTTCCATTTCCTTAAAAGGGCCCCCAGCCCATCCTCACTGGCCCACGTTTCTGGATAATCCCTCTCCTTCTTCTCCAATCCTGTTTTGTTTTTTTCTCTTCCCCGGTTTATAGGGTTGTTTCGGTAAATTTGTAGACCACGAGTCGCATATCCGGCTTACCGACTTTCGTACGACACGCTTGATGTGTTCGAGTCATGTCGTTTGATAAAACAAGATTTTCAATTCGATCAACATAGAGGGCGTGCATATATTTTTAGCTCGAATTTTGACAACTCGATCGATCGGATTAAAAATCAAATAACCCGAAAGTGAATTGTACGTGAACAAAACTGGACACGGAGAAAAGCTTACATACCATAATAATCCTTATAAAACAGAAGATCACTGAAAATGGTTGGTTGTGCCTGGGCTAGCTGTCCGCCTATAGTTATTTTATTCTATTATAGAATGGACTGTTCTTGACTTATTATTATTATTATTATTATTATTATTATTATTATTATTATTATTATTATTTTAATTCAAGGAAGCTGTAAATCTGCAGATGTGGGGGATCCGTATCCAGATCCAAAAAAACCCAATCAGAACTCACAGAAACGGATGGACCAAATAATTGGACGTACATTCCCTGGATTAGGATTGGCTCACATTTTATTTCACCTATAGTTATTTTATTATATTATAGAATGGACGGTTCGATTTTCAGAATGTTGATACGATTTTCTATTTCTAGCCATTTTTCCGTTCTGAAATTATGAACTTAGCATTCACGAGTTCAAAAATCGTGCCTTTGTATGAGCGCTTTCGCTTTCGCGTCCTCGTTCTCATGTAGCTCATTTCCTGTCATTTCTTCATCGTTTCTGGACAGCATGAAATGTCTTTTGATCATCAATCAATCAAGATTTTCTATGCATATATCAGGTTACCATCTTCACCTCTACACGTTGCTAGATCTCACCAACCGAAGCCCGAATCGGGACCCAAAAAATGGATGAACAGACCATGAACCAGCCATCTAAGAAACCTCTCTTGTACGAGCAAAAGTGATGAAATCTCAATCTACGTTGTACATCCAATAATGCAGTTTTCTGGTAGGGAAAGGAACAGGAACCTCACGTTTTTAATGGTTAATAAAGTGGAGAGTTAGGAGGAGGAGACACACCGACGCCTGCGCGCATTTAAATCCCAGAAACCAAACCCCTACCCAACCCAAGAAGTAGAGAAAGGAATGGGCCGGGGAAAAAAAAGGGAAGACCTAAAACAGGTGAGTGCGCGTATACCAAACCTGTCCAGAAATGGTGAAGAAAAAGAAAAGGGCATTAAATCGTTGTAACTAGAACCAGGTAAAAAAAAAGGGCCACAAACAAATTCAGCACCACCACCTTCCACCCTACTACTGCGCTTTAAATGAAAACTGAATATATATATAAAAAAATACTGAATTATCAATCTGATCCAAATACTTGTGAAAATGTTTTATGTGTATAGTTCGTGAAGCATCAAACAAGAAAAATAAGATAAGACTCCGAAATATTACGGAAACAGAGGTTCTTAATGCGTTCAGCATGTAAGCGGTTGTTGTAATGCTCTGTTTCATTAATGCGTTTAGCATGTATGTTGTTATTGTAATGAGTATTAAACGGATTTTAACTAACAATATTGTATAGGACTAATAGAACAATAATGTGAAACCGTAATAGAGGTAGCATGGGAAAAAAAAATATACGGTAGAATTTTTGCTTATTCAAGCATTTCATACAGCATGTGATTCAACTTGACTATAGGGTTTAGTGGAACGTGAGGTTTGGGTATTGAAAAGGAGGGTACGGAGTTTATTTTGGTCACGCATATCAGGTAAGTAATGGAAGGGCTTGTTCTAATTGGGCTAACTATTTCCATATATGGGCCGGGCCGGGCCGGGCCGGGTCTGCTTAATTAGGCTCTCTTGCGGACTTCGTACAGGTAGCTGAAGATCACCACCGCAGCAGCAACAGCTACTCCGACGGCGCTTTGAGCCAGTACGGTGCCGTCTAAGGGCACGACCTTGGAGGCCGAGGAGGCTGGAGTGAAGCCTAGCTCGGAGAGTCTTTTGTGTGCCGCTGCGTAGTCCTTGAAGAACGCATCCTCGTCCTGGAAATGGTTTAGCATACATCAAAACAGTGTGGCAGAAATGGGTATTAGGGTCATCAACGAATCGGTCGAATGAACCTTGATTCTTGATGATTTTGTCACTACAAATTGGAATAATCGATGAAAACAGTCACTTAATCATATTAGCGCATTGAGAAGTGAAAAGTAACACAACATAAACCTTGTTAACGTATCAGATAGACGACATGATAAATGGGAATGATAAAGCGCAGTAAAAAATTATACTATGAAGTAGAGCTACCTTTGCATAGAGATCAACAAAAGGTCGGAAAGCAGGATCATCCAATAAGGCATTGTCAGTTGGAAGTTTCAATAGTCCTTCAGTCTCCCCTTTCAGCAGCTCCCTGGAATCATTTGTCGCGAAAAGGGTTAGTATTATGACCAGAAAGATCTCAGTGAGATCCTAGGTATGGAGCAATACCAGTCTACTGTCAGTTCAGAGAGCCTTACACGAAGTATGAGTTATCAAACTTCAGGGGTTCCTTGGTCCAAGGGCCATCGAAGCCTGACCTCTCTGGATGTGCCCTTCCCTGCATGACAAAAAAAAAAAAAAAAATACGACTTGAAAAATCCGAGTGTGTTCATCTATGGCACAGCTACTACTAGAGAAAAGAGAATGTTACAAGAAATTACCAGAGTATGGCCACCTGATAGTGCCACAATTTCCTTGTCGGAGAGACCCATCCTGTAGAATACATCCTTCAAATGTGGCGAACCTAGCACACAGTTGCACCAGAAAATGTAGAATTACTCCCAAGTATTACTACAAACATGCAGACTACAAATGGGAAAATGGTAGAAGCCACGTATGGTTGTATCCTTTGTAGAATGCCTTGAGCAAGCAGAGAAGGACGGATGGCCAGTCATCCGAAACAATATTCAGTGTTCCAAATTGGTAAACAACCAGGTGAGAGAATAAATTAGCAGTAGTGGAGCACTACACTGCTTAGACCTCAAAAGATTGCAAGAATTCTCATGGAAGAAGTTGTACAGTTGTTCGACCTTGAAGCATTAAATTGAAGCCTACATGCTTTAACTAGACATATCGGGAAAGGGAGGCTGATATAAATCAATTGAACCTTTCACCGACGTGCAAAGTACCAGTAAGGAATGTACCATTTAGCAAAAAAATCTACTAGGAATTCAAATAAATAACTGGTACAATGGTCTCTGTTCACTAGGACGACTTTTTAACAAAATGTGGTAAGAGAAGACTTTCAATTATTGATTACTAAGGACAACTAGTTTACGAGAATATTCAGTAAAAATCAAGTGTTAAGTCAACATTTCTCCTCAATAGGAAGTGTAGTCATTTCGGTTGAACCATCGATAAACAATACAACTTAGTGTACGAACCCAAATTCATATTATCTAACTACACATCCCTCTACCCATTCAGATTCATATTCTGCAAACACACATCCCTCCCCGTTCCATAGAGATAAATTTTACATCTGACAATGGGTCTGAACTCTGCAGTGTCCTCTATCCCATGCATACTATCCGACTCATGAACCTTGAAACATTATCAGACGAAATATGGAACTCGAAAGCCAAATAACTCTGAAATCATTGATACCTTGTTTGGCATCCGGAAGTCGCCCTTCCTTGGGGGAAACTTTTGAATCCTGATAGACAGAGAGAATCTCAGTTGGTAACTTTCCAAAGATGTAATATAATCAACTAAATACTCAAGTCAACTAACTTCTGAATGCACATTCACACACCTTCCTGCCGGGGACAAAGTCGATGGTTGGACCTCCAGTTACCTCAACTGCAACAACACCAGCAAGCTGCATGCACAAGCACAAGCACCATTCAATTCTAAACCTGAGCATGTATCAGGTTCACATCATACAGTGCAACCAAGCAACCGCACCTATAATCTAGGCACACATTTACTCACTAGATTCTAAACCTCTTGGATTGTTACTATTTCTTCAGCATTTCAAATTCCAAAATGACAATCGTGGTGGCGATCACTAACCTGGAAAAGGTCGGCGTAAGTAATCTTCGGATGCTTGGCCTTCACTTCCTCTACAAAAACAATAGAGAAGACAATCGAACATTCAATTCAACTATCCAACCAACCACTGAAAACAACGGAAAGAAACCTCACCGCAGAAACCAAGAGCGATTTTCAGGCCACTGTTGGCACCGTGAGCCAGCTCCTCGTCGTTCCTTATGGAGCCATTCGGCCCGCCGGTCCTCGTGCTCTTATCGTATGTCCCGGCGTCGTGCCACCTGCATCCATCCGGCGACAAGAATCAGCAAAACCATACCGAGAGCCAAAATCGAGCGGCGGGGGTAAGGGAAATGTCAAATGAGCACTCACGCCAGACGGAGCATAATCGGGGCGCAGTTCTTGTAGGCGATGAGAGCGCGGAGGTCGCGGCGGGCCTTGTCGATCTCCTTGAGGTAATCGCCGTCGACGACGGGAAACGGCATGCTGCTGCAGCAGGAGTCGGAAAATTCAGAAGTCTCCGCCTCTGGTGCTGTTGAGCTGAAGGTTTGTGGGCGGAGAGTGAGGACTGAGAAATGGCTGAGATTGGGGGGCGGACAGAGACGGGATGGGCCACTAGTGGCTTGGGGGATCGGATTGGATGGATTCTGACGCACGCTACTAATGGTGTGGATGACCTCATCGGTTTCTAACGACTGGTTTTACAAGTTCATAAGTTTCTTTTTGACATGGTAAAATCGATAATCTTTAACACACAGATAAAGCATAAATGCAAAATAAAGGTTCATTTTTGGTTTTTTGGGAATGAAAACCAATACACTTCAAGATTTCATTTCGATTTTGGACAATTGGCTAATTGATATATCGGTTTCTAATGGTCTTGCGGTTTTATAGTTCGAATAACCGAATCGCCACCAATACTTCCTGGTGCAGATTTTGGTTTGCATTCTTTTATACAAGGGTTCTCACTCAACCCCAAAAGGCCAAAACAGTATAGACAGCTTCAGCAGAGAAGGACAATGGAGAAACTGGTAAACTGCTGGGAATTAAAGCCAAATAGAAACCAAAGTTGGAGGGTAAGGGAGGGATATATCATCAAAAGATACCAAATTTTTTCAACACTTGCAATTAAATACATGCATTCCTAAATACTAATAAAAAACCCTAAAAGGCAAATTGATAATAAGAATTCTCTCCAGACCCTATTCTTTTTTTTATTTACACAATCCATTTCATTTTGGCAGCAGATCCAAGTTCCTGTTTCTGCAAACATCCCTCGTTACAGCTTTTCTCGAAAACGCAACTCCGATCCACAACCTGTACACAACAGTAAGCAGTAACAATAAATCGCGATTGGAAGGCATGATGACTAGCCAGCATCCTGACGGCCCTTTGTGAAAAATTAGGCGGACTGACCTTGATGACGGCCAAAAAGTTTTAAGTTGCAGGGGGTAAAAGATGCCATTATTGAGCAGCGGATAACCATCGAGATATCTCCATCTTCATTCCTCGCGCTACTGTACACAGTTTTGCCTTCTTTCTCGGTCATGGGAGTTGCGAGTTAGTCGAAAGCTCAAGACAAGTCGAATGATCCCTGCCCTTCGCTGATTGCGTAGACCAGCTTCTTGTACATTATTTCCTGTTCAAGACGCAGCAAACACACCCATGTGAAAAACGGTGCTAAACAGCGGATTACAACAGTTCTGAATTAGCAACTTATGCCTAATGCACCATATGTACCTTCGTAGAGTAGGAAGGAAGCTTGAGGTAATTAGCACAGGTCATCACACTAGGCAAGTCATCATCTGCCGACTCCGAAGGCCCTGTCCCGTTAGATGGTGGGTTTGTCGCGGTTGAAGAATGCTGCAGGAGGGGATAATAGAACATGAACATTATAGGCAAGGCACGAAAGTAGAGAACACAATGAAGTTTTGAGACAGTAACCAAGTCAAGTAACTGTACCTTTCTCACGATGGTCAACTTAGGGTTCAACACGGCCAGACCACCAGGAGGAAGCCGTGGTGCACCAGTAACAAATTGACAAAAGGCTCGTTGTTGCTCTGGCGTGAATTCTCCCATAATCTCAAGTAACTATAGAAGAACAAAAACAGAGACAATCAGAAAGAGAGCCTCAACAAGTGACAACAGAAGAAAAAAAAAAAACCCTCGAGTGATGAGACAGCAGCAGACGTACGTTAATAATTGCAGGGCTCTTGGCAGTGTAACCATGATCAAATTTGATGTGATCGACAAGGGTGTCAGCCTGCACAACAGTCGAAAGTAGCTTGATTTAACTGCCACCTAAAGAACATTGAATCCAAGGGTATATATATGGTATAACTAAATTACCTCCCACAGCTCTCTGCGCCCACAAAGCAAGTAGTCCAGTTCGAGTGGATAAAATATTTGCAATGATGCTATATCAAACACCTAAATTTCAACAGCAGGACAATACAGAAGTTTAGAAATTTTAAATTGAAGACAGTCGAAGTTATCAAACAGAGATGTAGAATAAAGCTCACTTGATTGAATCCATTCCTGAATGCTTCCATTTGGCGGGTTATTCCTGTCCTAATAGTTGCATCTACTACCAAGGATATATAATCCTCCAAGTTACTGATATCAACCTGCACATAGGAACAGGGAGTTTATTTCAACACAGACGAAAAACTAACAGCAGAACACCGAATGACACTCATGTACAAAGGAAGATTCTTCTAAAGGACTTTGGACCATACAGTTTGATCTCCCCCTGTCTTCAGGATGTAGTCTGGATAACCAGGAAGAGTAAAATCCAAGCAGAGATCCTCAACCTTAGCCCCATGGAATCGTATATCAATAACAGCATCACCATTCCCAGAGGATTCCAAATAACGCTTCCTACAAACAAGGGCATCCAGTTCTTGCAGCGTCTTCCCAAGCTCAGCATCAAAAGAAAGAATATCATATAAATCAAGATCCTGCATCGTCATAAGCAGAGAGACCCAATTTGTCGGTCAGTAACCACATACAAACACACACAAAAATCAATTAAAGGAAGACTGCTGCAATCGGCTTACTTGACCCAAGACAATCTTATAGAAAGCTGTAGAAAATGGCAAGTCCAAAAGCCGCCCATCCTGAAGAGCTTTAGCCATCACACGACCAACAAGCCGGAAGTACTCAATAGCCTTGTGCAACTGACTACCCTCAGAGGCATCTGCATTTGGGGACCACGGCCGAGGGAACAAACCCAGCGGAGCATGAACAAGCTTCTCGTTCCCATCAATTTCCATGGGAGACTTCTCAGACGATGATGATTCACTGGACCTCCACATCCCAAGTGAAGTCTTTTGTAAATCATGACTCAAAAGGGTATAGAACTCTAGAGTGGGACCCAGCCCAGTACCAACTTCCCCAAAATACTCTACCTCTAGCACTGCTTTCTGACTAGAATACATCTCCATTACTTTAGCAGCAGAATCAAGAATGCGATTCCTAGAAACACGCACTTTCTGACGCTGCAACCTTCCAACTCTGACTTCTCTCTCATTAAACGGCCCTCCTCCATCAGCACCTTGCTGCTGTTGAAGTCGATACAGAGCACGCGACAACCCAAAAGCAGTTGAATAGAAGTACTGCCGACGAGTCTCAAATGGAAACAAGAATGGGCATGCCTTGGTCAACTGGTAACACCAAGAAGGAAGACTACCACTGCACAATGCAAGGGCATCCTGCATTTGTCGGGTTAGTTTAGGAGTGAGCTTGTTGTTGATGAATTCCTCAGTAGGGACCTTGACAGCAGAAGCAGTAAGCTCATCACAACTCAAGATTTTACCCTCTGCAAAGTTGTCAGTAACTAATTGTGCTCTCAGACGGGATGCAAGCTGGTTCAAACCATCCAGGACACGAAGCAGTGCCAGTATGTTATAGGTAGGATTGGACTTCTCAAGATCACATGGAAGTTCACCCTGCAATATGCTGTCTAGAAGTGACATTTGATGCAGTTGAATATCAGATTTTGCACCAGAAGAACTTGTAGCTTTTCCAGACTTGGAAGGAGTAGTAGCATTTGATCCACCACCACCAGAGGCCTTATCACTTTGGCCATCAGCTCTTTGATAAGTTATAGTGTATATATCACTCCAAAGTCTACTTCCATCACTTGAAACAAAATCGCTAGCAGCATATCTATCATCCTCGTCCTCGTCCAGCACGAGCTGTCGCTGGATGGCTTGATATATGGTTAAATGCCTATTGAGCTGCTTCCCACTGGCCGTGAAGATCAATCTTGCTGGATCATTAGTGCCACCTAACAAAAGGCGTCCTTGTCGGTCTCTGCTTCCTCTGATACCCCTAGCATCAGCAGAACCAAGCCCAGCCATTGCCGCAGCAGCAAAGGACATAGCACCCCTAGTACCATAGGAGAGACCAGTTCTTAAATCAGCTAAATCAGAGGCTCTACCACCAGCACCACGGCTACTACTAGAGCCAGGAACTGGATTAGAAAGACCGCCATCATTTGTTGCTGAAGCAACCGTAGTATCTTCGGGTGCATCGCCTAATTTTACATCAAGCACCTTTTCAGGCATGCAGACAGGAAGAGAATCATCTCCCAACACCTGTACAGGAGCAAAGGTGAAAAAAGATATTAAATCAAGCAACTGAAACAAAATGAAAAGGACCAGACCCCACTTCTTGGTACTTATGCATTAAGCTGATGATAACTTCCAAGCATAGATGCTGCTACCATAAAAACAACCACCTAAAATATACTAATGACATCCACCAGTCTTCTGAATAGCAAGAAGTTAGCTGCATACGAACGAACGCATTAATGTAGGCCGCTAATTTCCCTGCAACATACTAATGACATCAGATATCTTCCACACACTCTATTCCACAATACGTCAACCCACTGTACCAGTACAACAACAATAACAAGAAACAATGCAACAAGAGCCCAAATCCATATTCCTACAGGAGGGATTTGAGGTTAGATAACATACATCATCATGCTCATCGTCTTCATCGTCTGACATACCATCATCAATCACCAATTCATCATCAAGCTCAACCGGAGAGATCTCCAGTTCTTCATCCTAAGAAAAGGAGTTGACACAGAAGGTTATAAGATATATACTTCATATTTGATCTTATTTTGCATTCTGTGCCCTAATGTAATGGGGCAGTATTAATGAATGAGCAGAATGCTCTGGGACAGCTAATACTATCACCTAGGAATGCAAATCAAACAAGGCAATTGCATATTCTGAAACAGATCACAACAGGTAATATTATCACAAGTTATACTATACCTCAGAGCTAGAATCACAATCCACCGGTTTCATCTGTGAATCTTTATCGACGACTGCTCTTCTACGGGAAGCATTCCTCGTCTGGGGGCCTTTGGCCTCATCCTGAGAAGATTTCAAGACAGCCTTACCCTTCCCTTTCGATGAGCTTGTCCCTCTTTCCTGCACTGGTTCCTTTTTGGGAGAATCTCCTATATTAACAGATGCCTTAGACCTTGCAGAGTGGCGACGTGCGGTTGAAGCAGGTGTAGAGGTAGATGGAGATGATTCACCGGCACCCGCAGGTGTTGTACCAGAGTCGGAGTTTCCAGCAGAAGGTGACGGCTTCTGTCCAGATTCACCTCGATCAACACGTGGCCAAAGAAATGCTTCAACAGATGCTAAACTTGCCAATGGGT